CTTATATCATACTGGGAAAGCATATCAACTGTAAAATATTGATCAAAAGTTTGTACAAGGGGCAACCATAATGTTTTAGGGCACAATCCTCTATAGAAAAGCTGGTATGTAAGAGTATAATTTTTAATAATTTTCTTTTCTCTTGTTATTTAATGACATTGTTATTGTTTATTCTCATTTTATAAATTATACAGATTTATTTCTACTATATATATAATATGTAATGCTAATAAATAATTATTTACATTCAAGGTCATGAATTTCTATATCATTTATATACACTGACAATACCATAATATAAAACAACATATCAGTGAAATGAAGCTACTCTTTCTCTTCAAAGAAAGTATGCATCTAAGCTAGCAGCTAATGCAACTGCCTATTCGTTGGAATTACAACTTTCATTTCCAAACCCAGTCTTGAAGACCTGAAAGGTAAATAGAAAGGGGAAAATTGACTAGTATATTTACTATCAGCAAATTCTCAACTCCTTTCTCTATCCTTTTACGAGTCATGTTCTAACTAAGTTTTCTGAATAAGATATCATGATAATAGAGGACAATACTCCAACACATGTCCACCATTATCATAATACTCCTCAGAAAATACTTGGGTTCCAGAAACTTGTTTGGCCTGCCAATTCTCCAGATTTAAATCTGATTGAAACAATCTGAACCAGGTTAAAAGATATTCTACAAGACCAGATTAGACCAAGAATAACTAACTGCCTGCCAGATCAGACTAGTTCCCGAGGAGGTAAGCCTCCTTCCCTTATATCTTATATTATCATCTAATACTAACTCATAATAGGCTTGGAACAATTATCCTGAGGAACGTATTAATCACCATGTTGACTCCATACCTGAGAGGATCCAAGCCTATATAACAGATAATAGAGGAAACAATTTTAATGTTTAATGTTTAATTTTTAATGTTTAATTTTAATTTTTAATGCTTAATTCTTAATTCTTAATTCTTAATATATATATATTTTTTCTTGTCATGTTTCTGTATATTCTAAACTAACTGTTTTTGGGACTCTTTTGATGTTATGTGAACCCCTGAGCACCTCCCTGCAAGCCCGGTCTATTTCACAAACGTCACGACACGACGAGTACTCGAGTAAGGAACTGCAGAACCTTCTACAGCACCATGGCAGTATCATACCGGTACGTATCCTCATGGGGGGAAACCCTAAACCAAATCTTCGATCGAGGTATTTCCTCCCCCAGGGCAGAAAGCTTGTTCACCCACTTTAACTTATTTTGCACAGCCTCCAGTCTCAAACAGAATATGATATGATACAAGTACAAGCTCACTAGACCTGTAATATTACGAGGATTGCGACTCTAGCGCAACAAACCTACCCAACCACCAAAGTGTCGGAAATTTCGCAAATACACATACAGTATCTCGGAACACGGCATACCGGCACGCGCCCATCACTCTGCGCACTTTTGGCCCTGCTCTGTCACCGCATCCCCTCCTTTCCTCTCCCTCCCAGGTACCCTATTACCACCCAACGAAGCTCAGCCACCCCCCTCTCGCCCAATAAACTCGAAGCGCGACTGGAGAACACGACGCGTCACTCGGAATTCGCAGCGACCGGATCAAACGGCTTCAGCTCGCGGTTATCCCTCAGAATAAGGCTCACCCGTGGTTTCGGTGGCATCGTGCAGTGAGCGAAACCACACCGACCGTTTCCTGGAAATGGACAGGATCTAAGCTGGCTATTGGATGCGTTGGAGGACCGGCGAATCAAGCCTTTTTTTTCTCCCCCTCTGGCCTATTGCCGGCGGTCTATAATACCATCGTGACGTGACGTGACCTCGACTGCTGGCTGCCCGGGTCCCGCCAATCGCCAAGTCTTACAATTTCAGCCACATCCGGATAATGACTTCTTGCAGGACAGCACCAAGCACAGCATGGGGAAGGATCGGAGAGCAAAAAGAAAACAAGGCGGAAAAAAGAAAAAGGGACGAAAAAAGAATAGAAAAGTGTGTGTGGGGTGGTCCCATATCAACATGGGCCAAACAAGAAAATAGATGTTAAAGATCCAGGTGGACCACCTGTAGATGAGCTGTTGGTTGGTTCCTCCACCTTTCAACACCAATCCTTCCGTTCACCTGGACTCCGCCCTCTAGCCACACTGAAAGAGCTCTATTAAATGGCTTCCTTCGCCCGTCATCCCTCACATCCTTATAATCGGCATCAACACAATCCGAACCCTTCTCGCCGACACGGTCAAGACATGGAGATGCAGCAACCCCGGAGCCATGGGCGGAATCATGGGAAGATTGAGAGGGACGTCACCTCGCCAATACCGGACCCTGAGTTGACGAGGCCGGGGAGGCGGGGTTGCAATCCTTTCCGCGCTTTCGTTATCATGTTGAGGAGCTCGAGTAGTCTGGGCGCTTGCACTAACGTTCGTTCAAAAATTCCATCCCGTCTTCCTCTGCGATAACGCGAGTGGGGTAGGCTAATGGTGTTTAGGTCCTCTTACCCTTTGTACCTGTTGGTTTGGTGCTTCACTGGTTGAAGCCTGATTTGCATTTATGGATATTTTTAACCAATTATCTAGCTATGGTTCCCATGGCGAACTCGTAGGGCCCCGTCACGGGAGTATTTGTATTAATACCGTACTAACCTTGGCTCAGACTAGCATTCTCGAGCGCCCAATTCTCTCGAAGGCTCCCGAGAGTGCTTGGCGTTATAATCCAACTTACTGTCGCTTCCGCTGTCGAGGTCATTCTATGCCTCGTTCTACTGTTCAAGGTAACATAATATCAATATCTTCTTTGGCAAGTGTGTCTAACGATGGTAGAACGAATTCCAAGTCATCCAAGCGGCTATCATAGGCAGCATGTTGGCCAATCTCCTCCTCTGTACGGGCCTCTGCTTCATCGTCGGTGGGATCCGCACAAAGGCACAAGAGTTCAGCGAAACCGTGGCAGAAACCGGTGGCGGGTTACTCCTAGTCAGCGTAGCATCACTGATGCTCCCATGTGCCTTTTACGAGTCAATATCCGCAATGAACCGCCTCACCGCGGACGAGCTCAATCACAAGATCCTCCACATATCTCGCTTCTCGGCAGTACTACTGCTGATAGCCTACGCCACCTATCTCTTCTTCCAGCTCGCCACACATCACTCCGAGTTCGACCAGGCGCTCTACGAGAGCGCGCAGAGGAACAAAGACCGGGCGGACAATGTCCGCCGGGAAAACCTAACGGTTGGCGAGGCGGCATTCATGACACTCATTAGTTTGACGTTCGTCACGTTGCATGCGGTGTTCCTGGTTGAAGAGATTCATTGGATTGTCTCGCACAGGCATGTGTCCGATGCCTTTATGGGGTTGATTTTGGTACCGCTGGTGGAAAAGGCTGCTGAGCATCTCAAGGGAATTGATGAAGCGTGGGATGGTAGATCGCCCCTACCTCCCCCCACCACCACTTCACTGACACTCTACCTTTCCAGACGCGATGGATTTTGCGCTCTCCCACCTCCTTGGTTCGACCATTCAAACCGCCCTACTCGTCTCCCCGATAATAGTTCTGGCCGGTTGGATAGCACACAGACCCTTCAACCTCAACTTTGAAGTCTTCATGGTCATCGTACTGGTTTTCTCAGTCCTCGTCGTGGGGAACTTTATCAAGGATCGGAAGAGCAACTACCTGGAGGGCGCGCTGTGCGTTATATTTTACATCATGATTGCGTATGTTTCCCCGCTCTCTGATAATAGAATATCATAGTAACGGACTTTTAGCGTTACAACGTGGTATTATCCGAGCCCGGAGAGTATGGAGGAGGGTCATTAAAGCCCAAGCCCGATTCATTTCCCTTGCTGTCTGTCTTGGCTTATCCCGGGAGTTGGTGTTTTCCCCTTGTTTTTCCCTTTCTTCTCCCTTTGCGAGGGTATGGCATATCACTTGTAGTTTGTGATTTCCCGAGCGAATTTCTTGTGCAAATACACGCAACTTTAGCCTTTCCCCTTTTTTTAGTTTAGATCAGGTAACACAATATAGGAATTGTTGACCCGTTTCCTTTCTCAGGAAAAAAAAAAGTAAATCTAAATCATAGTCTATCACTCGTGATTAGTAATCATTGAGCGGACGGGAAAGGTGGATAGTTTCAGCGAGGGTGCTTTCCGTATGTGTACCAGGTACGGGTATCATGGAGGGAAGCCTAGAATGGAAGCATATCCGAAACACGGGATGGCAAAAAAAAACAAAAAACAGCGTGAACAATCCAAGTCTGAACTAGCGACTTAATGAATGGATGGATGGAAAGACAATGAGAAGAAAAGAACAAGTCAGAGACAACCATCTTACTCGAGCACCGGTACCGTAAAACAGAGGTGTAAAGCCACGGTGACCACCGACCGAGTTCCCCGGCTCACCTCTCGAACCCACACGAGCCGGCAATGCACGAATGCTCAGCCTTTGATAAGCGCCGACGGGGTGTGCAAGCAGGTGAAGCCGGAACGCGAAGGGAGGTGTCATACGATAGGAAATGTGCCAGCACGGTAGCCGGTACTGTGACTAGACAGAATATTGCACCTCTCCCGTCCGACTGGTATCCGAGGAAAGTCGTGATTGTACTGTACTGTAGTGTGAGAGCTACTGTCATCATATGATTTTAGTTCCGCCCTGTTATGATAGTGGTACCATATCAACACCCGCGAGCATGATACCGGTATTACTACCGGTGTGATAGTCCCCTGAAGGGCGGTGAGCCATCGGCGACCCATGATTCAGTTTTTTTTGGGGGGGTCTGTCTGTTTCTCTCGTAAGGTATGATATGATATTCGCCCTGCAATAGTCTAGAGACCTCTCTAATTCTTATGATACTGTGCTTTTTGCAGGGCGTCGTGCAATACTAACGTACCGGTAACCTGCCTATAATATCAGATAATCCTCCTCTTCCTACGGTACTGTACTGTACCATACTGGTAAATTCACTCAAGTAGACTATCATACAGTGCCGAGGATTTGAACTCGTCCCTACACTGTTCCATATAGTCGCACTCACTCGCTTTCTTGCCATTGGTTCTTCCATTTCCATTTCATGCACTCCCCCCCCCCCCTCACCTATGGTAGTCGACACCAACACCGGACGTTCGAAAATTCTGGTGGATATATGATATATGCATATATATATCCCGAAGCGCGGTTCGGTCGAGCAAGCACTGGTGATTTTTACCACGGGTGCCGGTGTTGCAAGTAATTTGTGATCGCCATGGCTTGACAATACTTGGCCGAGCGCGGGTAGTGATGTGAGTAGAAGGACGAAGGAAAATAGGAATGAAACGGGATGGCGGTTATGCTGTGCGAATGATCTACTACTGCATGAAGTCGCCCGTCGCGTGGGCTGTTGGGTAAATCCGGGGGACCGATGGGGATTTTGGTTGTCGTGGTGTCTTCCGTTCGGTCTGCTTCCTTCCTTCCTTCCTTCCTTCCTTCTTTCCTTATGAGAATTACTGTATTGAGGTTAGACCAGCTGACAGCGTGCCAAGAATGATAAGGCTAACTTAATGAGAACTCAATCACCTCCGCCTCAGTGATCCCGTGCCAAACTAGAAACAAAACGTAGGCGAGAGAAAAAAAAGAAAAAAAAGAAAACAAGTCCCATGAATATTTACGAGTGCGGCCGATAGATATATCCGTCACGTGAAGTGCGAGGGGCAAAAACCACCGCATAGTTTTGGTCATCACACTTCACATGACAGATATATCTAGACTATCGGTATGATAGCATTCGTACTAAATTTATGTAAGAACGTAATTAACCAGCGAAACCCCTTCGTCCCTATTCAGACCCCCACGCTAGACCCAAATGGGGCAATAACATCACCACTCGAGGACAAAGCTCGATGGAAGTTCCTCGCGGTCATAAATCCCATTGGGCGGGTCACCCATGATTTGAGTGACCGAGACTACACACCTCCATGAGAGCCCAGTTTTTGAAGATCAGAGAGCAAAAAAAAAAAAACACGCGCCAAGAGGTTGCGAAAAATTCTGGATGGGATGGCTGAACTTACTGAACCTCTTCATATCATCACACTACCGGTACAGTACACGATACCCTGTTTTGTGTTTTTTTTTAAAAGAGAAAAACCCCCCTGGTTAGTTTTCCCCGGCTTCAGCGATTCATTCACAGTTTATGCATATATATATGCGTATGCATACCTCACCCACATGCAACCAGAGGAGCATCAGGAACCAATTACCGACGAGGTAAATAGTACCGGTATTCCACATGCCGCGAACTATGGATGCTTTTGTCGGCACAGTAGAGTACATACGGTACCAAGAAGGAAGGATCGTAATAAAGTATTTTACCACTAGTAAACACTTCCGGCCCAGTCGCGAAACACACCTCAGTTGAAAAAAAAAAGGAGGACAATCACGTGATATCACTCGGTATACGTGTTCCTTCGGAGAGTTGGCACATCCCGCCCAACCGACACGCAGGATCGCACCCACCGGGTTCGGACCTTTCATGGTGGGTTACGTTCCATCGGGTGCTTTCGTGGTATATACATACCGGTATATGCGTAGAGCACAGGAGAGAAGGGAAGGGAAGAGCACATGATCACCGCTGGCAGTGCATGGGAAGATCTTACCATACCGTATCCTTCTCTCTCTCTCTC